CTATACTAACCATTGTACTAACTGGGACTTTATACGAGACAAGGAAGCAAATGCAACAATAGAGTCTTGTTCAATCCGCTGCACGGGCTTGATCCGACTACCCTGAAGGATTGCATACGACGAATTTCACCAAATCCGCTGCGGAATGGGAACCAGGCAGACGATGCGAGCGGCATGTCGAGAGTCAAGATGATAGATTCGGGAGAAGTTGCATTACAAGAGTGACAAGCGGACTGTTGCTTCTCCGTGACGACTAGGCAAGGGCAGCCTGAACGAGGTAGTCGACCGTCTCGTCTTGATAAGTGGAGTTGGCATACGACAAATGAGGACCAAGGGTGCCCCATGAGGTGCAGATGACGTCTTTGATGACACAGTAGTCTCGAACGACGGGCTCGAGGCCGCGAGGCGTACGGTAGCCGAGAAGAGCGACCTGGCCCAGCGCAGACTTGGCTGTACCGCGATTCTGGGGTCGGCCAGGCGATCGGAGAGGCGAGCCCCAATAGACTGCGGCCTTGATGCGGCTGAGTGGGAAGCGAGGGCGCGTGCTGGCCACGGTGTTGGCTGCAGCGCCGAGAGAGTAAGCCATCATGATGATTGTGGTGTTTGGGCAGCTCTGCGCGAGCAAAGTGGTGTAGTTGGCAACCCACCAGCTGCCGTCAAGGGCTGCTTTGACCTGGGATTGCAAGTCGTTTCCGATGTTTGAGTCGTATCTGGTCTCTGTGCGTCTCGACGTCCCTTCGGGCAAGCGCGACATGACCTGACGGGCCATTTCTTTGAGCCAGTAGCCGTCGGTGAACGAGTCGTTGGCACCACGGGTGGTGATGAACTCGATACCAGGACAGTTGCGAGCACGGTCGATCTCGGTCTGGTTGAGACTGGCAGTATTGTTGAGGGGGATTCCTACAAGCGAATAGTTTGCTGGGCTCGCAGATGAGTTGGATTGTTCGCCCGTGGAGGACGAAATGTTGAGTCCTGGAACGATCGAGTTGAGCACGGAGAGCGCAGCCGAGATGTCGGCGCGCTTCTCCATGTGCATCCAGCTGGGCTTCACCAACGGTGACGACGAAAGGCTATCTCGCTTTTCCAAGAGAGCATATTGCTCGCCGACCGACGGGGGCAGCCTTGTTGCAGAGCTGGCTGCGAAGAGCACGACGATCGCCACGCCCAAGGTCTGGATGAGACGTTGGCCCATCATTCTGGCAAAGATGTCCGAGTGAGAAGATTTAAGTGACGACCGCGTCTGGAAAGCTAGGCTCGTGGAAGTGGCTTCGATGATGGACGATGAATGACGGGATGGAAGTGGGACCGAGGTGCTTGGAAGCGAGTCGGGTGCGAAGAGTCCAACGTTTTCGCCGTCGAAGGTATCTTTAGTTTGGGAGACTGTGGCACCTGTCCTGCGGATTGGAGTATGAGGAGAAGGCTGCCTCACATTGGGGATCAAGACGGTTTGCGCCGCTCGGTCAGATTTGCCTGGGCGCGTCGAGTCGGACGGGGCTTGAGATCTGCAAGAACACGCTCAACACAACGAAGGGGGGTCTTGGGCGTTCGGGCAAGTTGTTTGTTCCGAGCTCCATTTCGCGATCCGGTTTCAAGTGCCTTGATGTCTAGGAGCCAGCAGATGGTGACCGGCCGCGGCCCGGCCAGCTGGTAGTCGATGTGAGACTTGGGGCGCCGAGGCCGCCGCGTTCGCCACGACCCAACTCTAATCGAAATTTTTCCCGGGTGGAATCAAGCTGTCAGTCCAGGAAATAGACTTATTGTCGAGGACGCCGATCCTGGGTCGTGCTGCAGATCCGTGTTTGTGAGACACGGGTTGCCAGCGGCTCCATCCGCCTCGACCCAGGCAGGATTCTGCAGGGTTGACGGCGCAGATCGCTGCACTTTCCAGTCTAGAACAAGCGACGGACTAGCTACATCGGCTGCGGCCAGCACTAACGTGGGAAGCGTCAGCCACTCCGGAATTGCTCCGTAGCGATCCCACCGAAGAGCTCGCGATCGTTTGCGCCAAAGTGTCCATGGCTGCGATAGCCGCCTCAAGCGACCGTCTTGCACCAGGATCGATACTGGCAAGGCAGTGGAAACAAGCATCCGAATTTGCGCGCATGTACGGCTCGGTCCTTCCCATCGATTGTAGCAAACCCACAAGCGAGTGTGCGCATTCTCTGCGGCAACGTCGTCGCTGACGCCCTGCTGCATGGGTGAGTCCGGTGAAAGTGCCGATCCATCGACCTTTGCGCCCGTATCTCCTCTCAAGAAGTGGCTGCAAGCAAGAACGAGCGTAACCTTCGGAGCCTCTTCTGATTCAGGAACATGACGCGCTCGAGTGAGTTGGCCGTTTGGGGAGGAGTCAGGGTCCAGAGACGCCGTGGTCGACCCTGCGGAAAAATCGCGATCGGCGCTCCTGCTGGCGCGTAATTCGGAGGCTCGGATGAGGCGAACGCGAGCGAATTTTCTTGGCTGCCGGGAGACGGGAGACGGCGCTGGGCGCACGCGCACAAATGCGCGGAAGAAGGCCGCCGCGTTTCACCGCCCTCGGGCGCAAGTACCTGATTCAGAAAATCCTGTTCGGGCTTGAATCGGGGCTGACCGCAGCTGCTGCTGCTGCCGCCGCCTCCGTCATGTGCGCGTCCATTGCGCACAGTGGCGTAGGTGCGGGCGCGCCTCGGTCGCAGCGGCATAACATCTTCGCCTTCCGGATAATTTTTTCCGCGTTCGACCGGGTCTTTTCCCTCGGTCTCTGCGTCGCACTGCTGTGTCCTCGCGCGGATGCCGGGCGTGAATGGCCGGACCAGCTCGTTGCTTTGGCATGGGAGAAACAAAGTGGACGAGGGCGTAATCTGGCGAGCTCTGGCCAGCATCGAGCATCCATGTCTTCTGTTGCCTCGTCATGTCTTGCGTTCCTCCCACGCCCACGAGCTAGGGTCCTGCGCACTCGGGCTTTTCCGCTGCACATTTGCCGAAATTTCGCCCAACTTGAACAGTTGACCGGATGGCGCGGCCGATGACGAATCCGATCAGTTCCCGATACAGACCTTGAACCAGATCCTCACTAAGCAGTCGGTCAAGTCAGAAGTTCCCACAACCAGCGTCAGCGTCAGCGTCAGCAGCCAGCAGTGCCAGCTTAGCTGAGGCTCGACGGCTTTGCCATCACCAGGCGGCAAGATGACATGGGCTCAAAACAGTTACAAGTCGAGCCACTCCGCGCAGCTGATGTCAGCATGCTTTTGCCTGATCGATAAGTGGTATAGACATTTGCAACTGCTTCGGGCTCAGCTGAACTTTCCCGTGCAGGTGTTCAGGATTGGTGGTGAAGCACGTGCTGTCGGAAATGTGCAGCCACCTTACAGTATCTGTTGTATCGCAGGACGTTGGACGGCATTTTACTCGAGAGATGCAGTCTCGGCAATCGCACGTGGTCCTCTGGGTCTGACCGGCTGCTGCAATGCACGGATGGGGTCTGGAAGCTCATGGCATCTGGGTGACAAGGATGGACTGATCTTGGTCGCCTCGCTTAGTCTCGCTTAACCGACCAGCTGTCACTAGCGGCTTTGGGCGGAAGGGCTGCCGACAGTGCTTTCGCGCCGGTCCACACGCTCAGTGAGGAACGCTTCTGTTTGGCGGTTTGAGAGTGAGTTCGAGGGAACAGACAAATACGCCACGCGGTAGCGCTTCCGCGGGATGGCGCGCCAACAGCCATCCTTCTGCCACGGTGATGAGAGAAAAGTGAGACATTCAGTCTGCGGCTCCTCTTGCGCCCCAACCCTCGCCGGAGGCCGGACCTCATGGCTTGTCTGTCATCTTTCACAGCGTCTCCAAACCTACGAACTTGCTTCCGATCTTCCAAACTTCCGAATCGCGGCGGCCATCTCACGTGCAGCTCCCATTTGATCTGGCAGGGTGCCGCGCCAAAGGACGACATCGCCGGGAGCCTGCACGAGGTCATCGCGGCCCGTCCCTTTGTACCACCTGTGCAGGTCGCAGCGTTTCACTTCGAGCGGCGCCAACTGCAGATCGCAGACCCCGCAAAGAGTCCAGCTCGAGCGCAGCACAGCAAGGCCCGACCCAAACGTCGCAGCCGGAGCCGCGTCGCCATCGGACCGGTATCTCCTGCACGGCTAGGATGCGGCGCACCACCGACCATAGTGGGCGCCACTGCGTTCCTCGGCATGCAAACTTTGTTGGCAATCTCCTTTTCATTCGCCGGTAAAAATCAACTGAGTCCTGGAAAGCGTGCCGCTATCTTCTTCGGGCAGACTTCGGCCGTCCGACACCAAGATGGTGTCGCGCAGAGCATACGTTGATCTGTGGCACTCACAGGCTGATTTGATTGCGATACCGTGAATCGCTTCCGCAGGAAACCGGCGATACCTCGGTTGTCTCGCTTGCGCTAGTCAGGTCGATCGTTCTCTCGCCTACAATGCCACCGATCCACAACGTAGCCTCGGCGCTTCTTTTGCTGGTCCTGGCCTTATCATGCACTGCAGCGGACATTGCAATTGCCGAGATCAGCGATCCTGGAGAGCTCCACACCAGGTCTCAAGATTGCAACGTGGTCTCCCGCTCTGCACATCCAATCTCTCGCAGATTGGGTACAGTGAACGCTTCCCGTCCAAGACATGGAAGAGGCTCGGATGCATGGTTTGCAGCCGTCCCCATCGCCGCGTCGAGCGAATCTCGTATGGTTCATTGGCATCGGAGCCGACAGCGGAGATGATGGGAGGGTCCCTTGAATTAAGATTATCAATCGCGCACCCAACAGGCGAGACGCGAATACTTTCGCGAACAAACACAGAAATACGCCGTGGGAGCCGCGGCAACTTGGCGGTAAACGCACCAACGGTGCGTTTAATTTGTCCGGATCATCTTGCCCGTCGCATCTTGATGTGAGACTGAGAGGCCCTGACCTGACATCGATTGAAGGAAGAAGCCCGCGAGCTCATCCGCCCGATGCTGCTCTGCAAAGTTTCATCGGATGATTGACGCAGGCAAAGGCTTCGCATGTTTCGCCCCTCGAGCTCTTGCACGACCAGACAAGGCAAAAGCCTGTACCACTCGACGCTCGAGCCAGATATTCAAACGTCAAAGACCAACAAAAAGTTGCGGTGAGGATGCACGATTCACAGGAAGACGAGACTGGAGGCTGCAACGAGAACAAGCGGAACGGCAAGCAGGCTCGCCTTGACGGCAGACTGGTGCGAAGCCGCGGATTTGACGCGAGCCTGGACAGAGGGACTCGCAGTGGGCTGCCAGGACCAAGTGCTCGTAGGTGCGACCGAAGAGGTTTGTGGCATCCTGTCAACACGTGAATAGAATTTGACATGGTCAGAATTTCTGCCTACAACTCTGCAAAGAGACAAGGCCCTCGGTTGGCGTCCACTCACTCGCTGTAGTAGTTTCTTGTGTGTCCGTTGGATCCGGTGGTGGTGATGTTGGAACCGAGATAGGAGCCGGTGGAGTTGCCTCCGAGCAGGTTGGCGTATCCGTGCTGGCCCTGGCAGTTCTTCTGGTTCCAGTCGATATCAGCTTGCTCTTGAAGATCGGGACAAGGCTGGTAGCAGGAGATGATGCCTTGCCAGTTGTTGCAATTGCACCACCAATCGTCCGGATTGCATGGCAGCACGGCGCCGTCACGAGCCACGGTGTCAAGGCAGATCGAGATCTGCAGTTCCAGCTCGCTCGGACATGATGCCAGGTAGGCTGGCGTTGTTGGTGTAGCAGAGGATGTTGCGGAAGCCGTCGCTGTTGGGGTTGTCGATACGACACCCGTCGCCGATGCTGGAGAGGTTTGCGAGCTGGACTCCTGAGCCTGACTCGACGTCGCAGCCAGAACAAGGAAGGCGAACAGGGCAATGCTACGGGGCCACATGGTCTTGAGCGGCTTGATGATGATGGTGGGAAGATAGCTCAGCTCCAAAAAGGATGGTCCGACGCTCTGGATTCTGCAGATGTCAGTTGGGACGGGTCTGTCGACGGTAGGGGCGGACGAAATTTAGGACGGTCTGCGTCTCAGGCTTCTGCTGGCAGGGCAATGAGGAACCCTGTCGCCCTGTCTATTGACCGAGCAGCTCCGTGTCTGCTTGAGCGCTTGTCTGTGAGTAGCCAAGTACACAGACTTGTCGTACTTGGAAATCCACGATGAAACGCGCAGGGCGGCAGAAGTCGAAGGGGGCGCATGGAGTGCCTGAAAAGTCTATGCGGCCGACGCTGCGCCAACCTGTGCATGTCCGTCGCCGGCGCCACGCTTGACGCCTCTGACTCCGGAGAGAGGGCAGGCGAGAGCTGAGGGATTCTGGCCGTCGACCCAATGGACCGACTCGAATCGCTTCGCTTTGACCAGGCTGTCGGCCAAGGCTTCAGGGTTCTTTTGCTGCCGACGTTGCAGCTCGGCTAAATATGTATCTGCTTCCGACTTTTGCAAATGTTGGGTGTCTCAGATTTCGGTCTCCGACAGCCTGCGACACCCAGGCTGTCCGATCGACTTCGAGTCTTCTGCAGGCTCGCCTGCAACGGCGTCCAGCATGAAACATGGATCGTCGGTCGGGGCGCCCTGCACATCAGCTGCCACGCCGGCCCGCTTCTGCATTCCCACAGCCAAACACGCTTATCCTCGCTCCTCCGTGGAGCGGTAGCTCCTACCGCCCGGCGCTAAAGGGTCCAAAAATCGATGCAGCAGAAAGTCCAGCGGTGCGCCGCTGCACCCTTGGCCGTCTGGCAGCTGCCCAGACCACACCACCCAGCCTGGTTCGCCTGATGGCGCCAAGAGGCTTTTGCGATCTCAGCACAAGCCAACTTCATCCGCGGCCTCGGGCGAACTGGCGCCGAATCATCGCGCGAGATCGCTCCTAGCTCCTCCGCTGATCTTTTGGACCGCTGATCTTACGGATCTTTGTGTGAAGCTCAAGCTGAAAGCGCCGTGTCTGTTTGGCAAAGTTTCAGGCCTACAAGGAAGCAGCCTGAAGCTGATACCTCTACCCGCCATTGAGATCGCCGAAAGCCTTGACGCTTGCTCGTCCTTAAGCCCGAGACTCCAGGCCATTGCAATCTCGAGTCGCATCTCTGCCCACCGGTCTCCAACGCAATCATTGCACACGGCAACCAACCAATTCTTCTTCAATTATCAACGCAACCCTGGTGGAGAGCGCGCCCGAGCTCCTTCCCTTCTCATCCTCTCAAGCTTCGTATCTCGTCCACGCTCCTCACCTCCCTCCTCCCCCCTCCCTCGTTCCCCCTTCATCATCGAGGTACGGATCCCATCACCACTTCCTCATCCACCACCACCCCAGACAATCCACTCAAGCTCGAAGCGAGATGGCGATCGAGACCGACCTGGACACCGCCGCTTGCGAGGCCTCCTGGCCTTCGAGACGCCTGAATCCCAAGTCCCTTACCTGGTGGTCATTTCTCTGGATCTTGTACCTCCCCTTCGGAGTACTGCTGGCCATCTGTCAGCTAGTATACCTTTTTTTTCGTTTCTCGATCGTACTCTACGTGGTCGGTCCCAAAGGCTTCCATCCCAGTGCCATCTTCCCTCTCGTCAAGTTTGAAGTGGTGGATCATCAAGGCAAGCCCGTCCCAGCCGAGACGTTCACAGCCGCAAGCTTCAGCGAGACCGACAGGACATCCAGGCGCAGGATCTACTGTGCCGAGCATCCTTATATCTTCCTCGATGGCTGCTTGGCGCCTCTGACCAACTCTGCGATTGTCGTCGCCGAAGTCGCTGCCAAGGGCATCACTGGATACCTGACCGGGCCAATTGCTTACGTCAAGAAGCGCGGTATACCCCTCGTCAAGATGCTCGAGGAGTGGTCGCAGAACCCGAATTTTGCCAAGAACCTCGTCATCTTCCCTCAAGCCGTGACGGTCGCCCGCAACAACTTCGTCAAATTCGGCACGCCGACATTCGAGTTTGCTGCCTCTCATCCCGATGCGATCGAACTTGTGCCCGTGGTGATCAGCTACGACATGCCCTACCCGATCCATCTCCGCAAAGCCGACTCGAGCTTCCTTTTCGACTTCCTCCTGCTCATGATGATGCCGTACGCAAAGGTCACCTATGTTTTGCTCGAGGCCGTGCAGCTTCACAACCGATCGGCAGAAGAGATCAAACAGACCTGCGAAGACGCCATTGTGGAGTGCTCCCTCAGGCAATGCCAGCGACACAATATCGACTATCGCGACAAGGTGTCTTGGAGGCATCTCCTCTCTGCGAGGCTTCACCCCACCTACCGCTCATTCGAGGTCAAGGTCATCAACCTGATCCAGAGCATTCCGGGAATCTTGGTGCCCTCTCTCGTTCTGCATTACTCGTTCCAAGAGTCTATCATCATCCTTTTGGGTGCTTGCGTCTACTGGTCGCGTTGGAACCAGCTGACGCTGACGATCATCATGCGCGCCTGTGTCGTTGTCTTCGGCATCGTCAACTTCATCAAGGTCCTTCGGCCCGTGCCTCGTCCGGCTTGGGTTGCAGCCGATCGCTTGAAGCTCAATCCTTACAAGCTCAAGAAGCCGCTCCGACAGTACGACTACTCGTTTCCCTCCGGCCACTCGGCATTCATGGCTTGTGTATACTCGTCCTACTACTTCAGTCGCAACCACCCAGAGGTGCAGTTCGACTTCCCCACCGTGGCGCACGTCGTCTTGACCTTCCTCACGCTGGCCAGTGGTCTGTCGCGTCTCTACCTTGCGCTTCATTGGCCCCTCGACGTCCTCTGCGGCTGGGTGATCGGCGGCCTGTGGGGCTGGGCATGGGGTGCCTTCTTGGACGCACGCTTCGACAAGCTTCCCATCGGCATACAGATCGCCATCTCGTTGGGGGTCGGCCTGTTTTTCCTGGTCATCACGATGCTGCGCATGTTCGTCCTCCCAGCCAAGATCCCCGCCAAGGTGTGGTCGGATCACGTCGGACACCTGCTGAAGCTGCGTGACCCGCACCAGCTCTTGCTCAACGTCTCGATGCTCTGGGTCATCCTTGCGTCCAAGGCCTTTATCATCGCATTCTACAACGCTGGTGCTGCTATCGTCATTTGCCCGCTCGGCAGGTCCTCCTGGCTCATCTTCATGCAGATGCTCATCGGGCTCGTTTCGACTGCACTTATCTATGTGCTGATCGTCCATCTTCCGGGCCAGCTTTTCCCTCCGCCCAAGCCGAAGAAGCAGGACCCCGAAAAGCAGCAGCTGCTGTCCGAGAAGAGAGGCCCCCTCCCCAGATGGACCAGGCAGTACAGCCGCGCCGAGATCACGGGTGCGGTGGCGAGGGCAGCCTGGTGGCTCTTTGCGTCCTCCTTCGTCCTCTTCTACATTGCCATCTTCAGCCAGCTCGTTGCGAGCAAGATCGAAGAATCTTATTGCTCCGTGCTGGTCTACAAGAAGATCGCAGCATACGGAGATGAGTAGGCTTTCTTCGATCTCACGTTTACATACAACATTCTTTAGCTCCTTCGTAATGGTACTTGCGCTTCACCTACACTCTTTGCTTCGTTCGTTCGGGCTCGATACGATTACTGCCCTGACGGTGAAATGACGTTACTGCCAGAGTCTTATCCGGCGTCTCAACCCTAGACGACGAGTGTGTCCCTCCACGTCTCGTATTGTCGGATCATAAGCGATGTGATGCGCCGCTTCACCGAGGACGCTGCGCTCTCGAAGTGCTGCTGCTGGATCTGTAGCAGCAAGAAGCCAGAGAGACAACACCAAACAATGACAGAGTCAGTAAGAATGAGCGGGGAGCATGATCGAAAGGGATGTGCTGGACTTACCTTGTCGCAATTGATGTCTTCGTCCATTGCAAGTAGGCCTGCTTCTTGGCAGACGGACACGACCTCGGCGCCGGAACAGCCTTCGGTCATTTGGGCGAGTTTGTCGAGGTCCACCGCATCCTCGGCCACGGCCATTTTTGCCATCCTCGTGCGGAGGATCTGCATCCTAGCATTGTGATCGGGCGGTCCTACGTAGACGAGCCTGTCGAGCCTTCCCGGACGTAGCAGTGCTGGGTCGAGCGACTGGGGACGATTGGTAGCACCGACGACGATAACGTCCGACATGGCTTCGATGCCGTCCATCTCGTTGAGCAGGGTGGCGATGATGCGGCTGTTCAAAGCGTCACCGCCCGACTGCTCCCCGTCGCGGCTGGAGGAGAGTGCGTCAATCTCGTCGAAAAAGACAATGCTGGGCGCCGCAGCTCTGGCCTTTTTGAACGTCTCGCGGATGGCGCGCTCGGACTCTCCGACGTACTTGGAGTAGAGCTCGGGGCCCTTGACGGCGAGGAAGTTGAGACCTGACTCGGTGGCGAGCGCGCGCGCGATCAGGGTTTTGGAGCAGCCTGGTGGTCCGTACAAGAGGACGCCTCTGGGCGGTGAGACACCGAGACGTGCGAAGCTGGCAGCATGTTTGATCGGCCACTCGACGAGTTCTCGCACTTGAGCTTGGACCGACTTGGTGGACAGGGCGCCGGAGCCTCCCGAGGAGGGCGTGGCAGAGCCGGCGATGTCGGACCAGTATACTTTGGGCGGTTCGAGGAAGATCTCGCGCATGGCCGAGGGTCGAACGACAGAGAGCGCAGCAAGCAGGTCTGCCGCAGTGACCCTGTCCGTATGTCCCTGCACGGCCGGAGCCGAAGGTGAAGCTTGGCTGAGCGACATTGACCGAAGTTGCACGTCGAGTTGATCCGACATGGACTGTTGGCGAGCGAACGTACGTCGGACAGCGCGCATGCCTGCCTCGCGAACCAAAGCCGAGAGGTCGGCGCCCACGAATCCGTGTGTCCGTCCGGCCAGATCGTTGACTTGCTCGGCAGTAAGATTGTTGGGTACAGGTTGTACCAGAGTGCGGAGGATGTCTTGGCGAGCATGCTTGTCAGGAACACCAATCTCGATCTCGCGATCCAGGCGCCCGTAGCGGCGCAGAGCGGGATCGATCGCGTTTGGTCGGTTCGTTGCGGCTAGGATGACAACGCGCGCTGGGGGCTTGCCGACACCGGATGCGATCTTTTGCCCGCTTTCAGACGGAGAAGCTGCGCCGCCTTGTTGCTCTTCGTCGATGTGGTCGTCGTCGCTGTCTTCTCCGCCTCCGTCCTCCATGCCATCGAGGAGGGTGAGAAGCTGTGCAACGACTCTGCGTTCCACTTCGCCGGCACCGTCTGCATTGGAGCCATCGCCGGAGCCGCCCTCCCTGCGTGGAGCGAGAGCATCGATTTCGTCGATGATGATGATGCACGGGCTCTTGCGCCTGGCCTCCTTGAAGATGTCTCTGAGCTTGGATTCGGTCTCTCCGTGAAAGGCGGACGAGAGTTCGGGGCCGTTGATGGTGAGGTAGGAGGAGCCTGTTGCAGCTGCCACTGCTCGCGCAAGAGAAGTCTTTCCGGTGCCTGGAGGTCCGTAAAGCAGAACGCCCTTGGGAGGCTTGAGGCCGTACTGCACGAAGATTTCGGGCGACATGAGGGGCATTTCGATGAGCGTCTTGATTTCGGCGATCTGGCGGTCGAGGCCTCCAAGCTTGGAGTAAGGATCCTCCTTGGAGATGGATGCAGCATTGGCGGAGTCGGTAGATTCCTTTCCGGCCGCGACGATGGACACAGCCGTGGCGCGGGTGATCGTAGACACTCGTGTTGTCGTCGAAGTGGCGGTGGAGCGAGGTGTGGAGTCGGAGAGCGAGACCTCGCATCCGTTCTGACCATCTATATCCATGACGCTCGAGATGGCAAAGCTGTACACTTGCCCGTGAAAGCCCAATGAAACTACTTGGCCGAGATGGATGCATTCGAGATCGGCAAGGCACTCCTTTGCGTGCACGGTGAGCATCTGGCGATCCGACTTTCCGAGCTTCGAAGGGTCATGATGAGGATCCGAGGCAGCTGGAGCAGCTGGAGCAGGGGTCAAGGATAGCCTGACAGCTGTCGGTGGGCGTTTGAGCGGCATGGCGGAATGCGCAGTCTGGAGAGGAAGTACCACTGCGCGTTGGCCAGCTTGCAGACTGGCTGGGATGTGTGCGGCAGTGGGCAAGCGGACGGTGCCAGCTTCGAGGGTGAAAGATGGCCATACAGAGCCGACAAGAAAGCCTGCATCCTCGGATCCCTCTGCCAGAATGATCGCTGCATCGCCTGTCTGTAGCCGGAGGGTGCGGATACTGTCTGGCGGGAGGAGGAGCTTGTTACGCGAGGAGCTGCTTGCGGCGGCGGATGAGCCGACGATGCGCACCCGATGAGGGGCTCCAACGAAAGAGGTTGACGCTGGTTCTGCTCCGCTCATCTTGTCCAACGCTGTTTGAAGAGGTGTGTAGAGGACGAGGACAAAAAGGTCAGGAAGAAGGAGTGCTGCCCAGCAGTCGGCAGTCGTGGTGGAGGTTGGACGCTTTTTTTTGCTCCGTCCTTCTTGGCCATCTCGGAACTCGGCCCGGGTAGCTCAGCAGGTGCTGCGAGAAGAGCAACGCCGTGCAGGGCTTGGACCCTGCTTCTTTCCCACCCCTCCCCACCCATACCCATTCGGGCACCGATAGCTTCTAACCATGTCGCTGGATCAGTCGCATTACGACGTTGCTCTCTTCGGCACGGGTCTGACACAGAGCATCCTCTCCGCTGCATTGTCCTCGGCAGGCCTGTCGGTCATCCACATCGATCAAAACGACTACTACGCCGACCAGTGGGCAAGTCTCACGCTCTCAGAGCTTCTCAAATGGGCCGCCAATGCTTCAACCACGTCGGAGCCGGAGCAGAGGCAGAACAGACGTGTGTCCGACGTCAGCTTGGCATTCCCTGCTTCTGCTGAGAACGAGGCACCACAGTCCAGCATATCGTCCCAGCTGCCCCAGTCGCTCGTGTCCCTCGACCGCCATTATGCGATATCGCTGGCACCAACCCTCCTTCCCGCAACGGGTCCGTCGATCGACTGCCTGATCAGCTCCAAAGTCTCCTCCTACGCCACCTTTCGCCTTCTCGAACGCACCTGCGTCGCTTCGTCTTCTGCACGTGTTCCCGACGGCTCGGCAATGACGCTGACGAGCGTTCCGGCGAGCAAGGAAGACATTTTCAAGACAAAGACGCTCTCCCTGATCGCCAAGCGCAAACTCATGAAGCTGCTCATGTACATTGCCACCGAAGACTGGCAATCCGAGCTTGCCCAGGATCCTGAAACAGCAAAGCGGCCGTTTGCCGACTACCTGGCACAGGTGCACAAGATGCCGTCGGATCTCATCGACGCGGTGGCCTACGGTGTCTGCCTATGCTCGACTCCCCACGAGACCACCGAGACCGCCATGTCTCGTGCCAAGAGCCACATGTCGAGCGTCGGAAGGTATGGCAACTCGGCCTACCTCGTCGGCCAATACGGTGGCGCAGGAGAGTTGGCGCAGGGCTACTGCCGCGCCTCGGCAGTCAAGGGAGGCATGTTCATCCTCGCACATCAAGTGCGCTCGGCAAACTACGACAAGCAAGCCGCCAAATGGAGCATCGAGGTGGAGGATGTCGATTCGACCATCACATCCGACTACCTTGTTTCGAGCGACGACATGCTCACACAGCTCGGCCTCGACAGCAGCGCCGCCGCATCGAATGCCGCAGACCCATCACGCAAGCTAGACGTGCTACACCGTGCTGTCGTGGTCCTCGAGAAGCCTATCCGCTTCTCGACCGCGCACGTTCCCGAAACAAAAGCAGCAGACTCGACTCAGCAGGACGACGATCAGCCACAAGAACAAGCACAGCCCGAGCTGCCACCCGAGACGGGACTTGTCGTTTTTCCACCTGATTCCATCGGCGGCAATGCAAACACGGTGACCGTCTTGATGATGGGTGAGGGCACCTTTTCGTGTCCAAAGGGCCAATGTAAGTGCGCGGCCATCTGTTCTAAATGATCGCAGCCCAGTGCAGGCACTGACGATGTTGTCATCTCTTACTTCTTGCTCAGACGTGTACTACGTGCAGACCGAGGCGTCGGAAGCCGAGGCGCAGAAGCCTGCGCGGGAGATCCTGCAGCCTGTGCTCGATCAGATTGTTGCATGGACGAGCTATGACGAGGCCAGCGACGACGCTTCGCAACCTCGCGCTAAACCATTGGTCGAGTTGACGTACCGGCAGCACGTCTCATCGCATGCAGGCGAGCATGACGGGCCTGTTCTGTCGCGCATTGCATTCCCGCCACCACAAGCTGAGGGGTCGCCAACGCCACGCCCGACTGCATCGATTGCGGGCATGACGGATGCGGCAGTGCACCAAGCCGAGCGTGTATACTACGATATTCTGGCTTCGCGTCTGCCTGCGCGAGTTGGTGGCGAGGGCCACGACGACAAGGTCAACTGGATCAAGAAGGCGGTGGAGGAGCAAAAGGCGGAAAGGAAGCGCAGGAGAGGCAGGGACCCGTCGGAGTACCGGGGCAGAGGCGGTAGGGGCGCCGACGACGGCATCACCGCGGCAGGCCAGGAGGCTGAGACGGGGGCGTCGCCAGCACAAGGAGACGCGTACGTCGTCGGATTTTTCGAGTCGAGCTCGAATCAGGACGACGACGATCAGGACGAGGCGGATGAGGGACAGTAGCAGTCAGGCACAGGCCAGAGTTTGGTTCAGTGTCAGTGACAAGCATTGGATTGTAATGCAAAGACGAGCGAAGACTATCGGCGAGCTTGGCGATTGACTTGGCTGCGGAACTTGTTGGACTTTGCGCCCTGGGGAACAGGCGAGGGTGCGGAGCTGGATTTGGATCGCTGGAGGGTGGAACCGGCTTTGCTGGAGGCGCGGAGAGTGTCGTAGGCTTGCTGGGCCTTTTTGGCCTTTTTGCCGTTGCGGCCGTCGAGACCTGCGCCTCGGAGGAGGTCGCCAAACTCTTCCTCCATGCCGCCGCCGATGCGCCTTCTGCCGTCGCGGCCGGAGCTGAGACCTGCGCCTCCGAGGGCGACGTCTGCTTCGTCGCGCCTGCGCTTGCGTGCGTCCTTCTTGGACATGACGAGACGCGTGAAATTCTCCTCCTCGAACTCGTCCATCCTGGCGAGGGCTTTGGCGCGTGCGGAAGTGTTGGAGGCGAGGCGACCGCGGCCGCCGACACCGACGCCGCCGGAGGAGGCCTCGTACGGGTTTGCGGACATGCTGGCGGTGAGGTCGGACAGAAGCGCCGAGTTGCGTGTGATGGACGAAGGCTTGTCGGCGAAGCGTGGATCCTTCTTGTTGGAGCGCGCGTCGGGATCATACGACATGGGCACGAGCTTGGGAGGACGGTACACGGCGGTCTTGCCGCCCTGATCGTCCGAGTCGGAATCGGAGTCCGAGTCGCGGTTGGATCTGGATCGGTGGTCGTTGGGCTTGGACGATTTGGAGAGGGCACGAGCCTTGTCTTGCATGAAGGCGGACGGGTTGGGACGAAAGGCGAGGTCGTCATCGCTGGCATCGTCGTCGTCGTCGCCGCCTGTGCGGCGCTTGGATCTAGATTTGCCATTGACATCGGAGGCGGGCGCGGCACGACCGAGCATGACCTCCTTGTCGGCATCGGCGGCTGCACGGAGGAGCTTGTCCATTTGGTACTTGAGACGGTTCTCGAGCGGACGAAGCTTCTCGAGCATGAGACGCAGCTTGGCCATGTTCCGGACCAGATCTGTGGATGCACTCGCGTTTGATTGGGATGCGCTGGAGGCACTGGCGAGAGAGCGGCCCGATATTTTGGCGATGGAGAGGGCTACGATGTGGTGGAGGTAGTCGAGCATCGCCTCGTTCTTGACGGTGAGGAGTGAGATGCCGTCGGGATACGCGAATGGATTCTCGGTGGGGTCGCTGGAAGACGATTGCGACACATCCTTCTCGAAGGCGCGGACGGAGTCGCTGAGTGTAGAGACGGACTTGTGGATGGTGGTGAGCAGCTTGGTGAGGTCGTTGGGGGCGACGTGCGCTGCGGTTGTGGAGGATGACGCCATGCTTGCTGCACTAGGGCCAAGCGGCGAGACCAAGGACGAGCGTGTGGAAAGGTATGGAGGAAGGATGGCGGTGGCCAGAGCTGGGAAGTGCAATTCGCTCAGTTTGCACTTTTCAAAAACTTCGGTCTGCCAAGTGACCCTAGGAAGATGGGCTTTGTCACCCGAGATCCGAGGTTTGAGTTCGTTCAAGTTTGTTAAGCCATCCTCTGTCTAGCTTTTTGAGAAAGATGCGACTCTTTCGGCCGCAACAATGGAAGGGCGGTGCGGCCGTGTGTTGGGCTCGGTTGGGAATCGGTGAAATTTGGAAAAAGGCACTCACTGGTTTGGAGCGCCGACGACTCGGTCTCATCGGCCATCCCGCTCGCAGTTTCTCGTCTGGCAGCGGCAGGAGCAGGCGGCATGGGCTGAGCAGCCAGCGGCACTTTTTCGTTCCCTTTTGGAATTGCAGGTTGCCGACTGGCACTCTTCGAGAGACGAGAGGACAGACTCAGGAACACGACCATGGACATACGCAATCCAGCGGGCATGCTGGCCAGCGGGGCTGACGGGGCAGGCGGGAGAGGGCGATGGCAGGTTGACCGGCGCAAGTGTTTGTGCACCGGCTCGAGATGCTTCGGAGGCGTCTGGCCTCTTTGCGCTTCCCCTCCGCAGCTCGGCTAATTTAACCACCGTGGCCCTGCCTTTCCCCACACTCCCGCACATCATCCCACCCAAGCCGTACATCCGCCATGTGCCGCTGTGCCACAGGATGCGCTCGAGCTCGTAGGCCAGGCTCATGCAGCCAGGGTCTCTCGCAGAGGCCATCGATGCACAACGTGTGGCGCGAGCAAGGCACTTGGTCTCGTCGCGCCTTTCCCCACACTTTTCCCCTTCCTTCGTCTTGTCATGCATCTCGTCTGGATTCGGCCAGCTCCTCCGAACCCGACTCGTGCATCCCGCCTCGCCCTGCACACTCCATCGGTGAGGCCACTCCATCGGTGAGGCCACTCCATCGCGGTCGACCCTGCACCCTGCACGCGCATAAGCAAAGCCTCTCCTGCAGCCCATTCTCGAATCCCTTGCCTACCTTCGTACAGCCACTACCACGGTCCTTCTGGGCTTCACCCCGCTTCTTGCTGCAACAGTTCCCGTCCCACTTCCACCTTACCACCCTACCACCCTACCACCATACCTCCATCATCACCTCGTCGCGACATCACATCACCAATAGCCGACTCCACCATGAAGGCTGAATCTTCTACCGCCATCGCCGCCATCACCATGTCCTCATTAAGCGCAAAAGACTCGCGTCGCCGTCAGTACCGTTCCTGCGATCGATGCAGAACCGGCAAGCGCGCCTGCAATGCCGTGTACGACTCGGTCGCAGAGGCCATCAACTCCAAAGTCGCCTGCTCCAACTGCCGCAAAAAGGGAAAGACCTGCTCCTTCCAATACGTCCTCTCCATCCTCGGCGGCGTACCTAGCACAGCGACCCATCAGGAGCTTCCTTCCCTCTCCTTGAAACAAAACGACCCTTCCGATGACGCAGAATCGCTGCCACACATCACAGCCACGCTCGCAACGGTCGCGCCACCTTGTGCCAGTCCCTTTGGTCTCGACTTGCGACAGCAGCAGACAGCGCCTTCCAACGGCTCCATCCATGCCCTTTCTCCGCCTTCGACCCTGACCCTGTCAAGGCCTCCCGAATCCAGTCTCGTGCCCCACGGCCTGTCGCTCACACAAGCAATGACATTCGCAGCCGCCGCCTACAGAGCCTCGGCTACAATCTCGCCTACCTCCTCCGCCCACCGAATGAGCACCGCCATCGACCGCATCTTCCTCAACGACGGCCTCATCCGTGTCTACGAAGGCGCCGCTGAGCAGGCTCTCAGATGCTGGATCACCTCCGCCAACACTCCCTACATGCTCCTCGACCGCACAACTTCGTCACCACTCCCTAACGCCATCTCCTCGAGCGCCGGTCAACAGCTGGTATACTGGCGCATCTGCGAGCTCGACCGTGGCGCACGTGGCCTCCTCGGCCACTCCTCCGCGGCACTCAGCAGGGAGAAGGACATTATGGACGCCTTCCATTCCGTCGTACTCGCTTTTGCCGCACAGTGGAGCCCGCGTTGGATCAGCGGCCTTGCCGGAAAGGCCAACCTGCACGCCGCGGGCCCACAGCTCAGCAAGGCGTCCGAGGACAAGGTCAGACTTGCGCTCTGGGAATGCGCCAGGGACAAGCTGCAGAAGGTGGCCAACCTCGACTCGTTCCGCGTCATCTTTGCGCTCATCATCTTCGCCTGGACCGAGAAGCCGCGCGAGGTCTTGGACAGGGCCGCCAACGACCCCGACATCGACCTCAACAGCGACAACTGCGCCCTCGATACCAGCTCCTGGCAATCACCCGCAGAGGGCAGCACCTTCCTCCTCGTTGCAGCCATGCACAAACTCCTCAGCATCAAGTTCAAGATCGAAGGCAAGAAGCGTCGCGGCCTCAGCCCTTGGAATGCCCCGGCGTCCAAGTCCAAGCCGTCTGCTTCTGCATCTCCAAATCTAGACCAAGCGTCATCGCTCAACGACGTCGCTGCATCCTCCGGGCCAGGCACCCAGAATGGGACCGAATTTGAGCCATCCGAAAAGCACAAGATGGCAAGACAGATCCAGAGCGACCTTGAGAGCCGCAGACAGTCCACCGATGACAACACAGTGCACACCGCCGGCTCCATGGACCGCACTGCCAAAGCCAGCCCAAACGAGGTAGCTCGTATGGAGGGCACGTATCACATGCTCTACTGGCTATGTGTCGTCATCGACACCGAGACGAGCGTCCTGCGCAAACATCCGCCCGTGGTGTGCGACGAAGACAGCGAGGTCATGTCCTCGGTACCCGGTGCCGCCCTCTCTCCCGATGCTTTCGACACCGCCTCTTGCGAGCTTCCGACTCCTGCAGCGGGTCGAAAGGGGATCTGGGATGACTACATCATCGACATCAGCAAGCGCAAGGCAGCCACAGAGTTCGCCTCTTCGTGGCCCTGCGATGAGAAAAAGGCAGCAGCGACGCTCGCCTTCTCGACTCCCGTCAAGGTCGTCATGTTCCGTCAGATCAGCCGTCTGCAGATGTCGTTCTGGCGACGAGCCTCCACCCAGGCCGTCGAGCAGCACATCCGCAGCGGTCTCTCCATCATCTACCACTGGAACCAGATCTACGGTCGACTCATTGACAGCTGCCGCGAATCGCACGCCTCGCTGCCGGCGTCGATACAGTCCTGGTATACTCTGCTCGCATTCCCGTGGTATCTTGCCGTGCTTCTGTTTGTCGAGATGGTGCAGACCGTCGATATGGCCGGCTCTAGCGACAAGCAGGCGCGCTTTGAGCGCGCCAGATCCGGCATCTTCCCGCGGCTGCGCGACCGCGCGTGCTCTGACCTCGCCTTGCTGATCGGCGCGATCCAGTCGACGGCGTTCAACCATCAGGAGCCGACGTTCCAGTACGTCCGAGACTCGGGCGGTAATGTGCTGCTCACCGAGCCGTGGTCCGAGATCCTGGTGCACAGCATCACCACCGTGGTCAAGACCGAAATCAAGCTGCACGAAGGCTACTGCTCGCTCTTCAAGTGGAAGGAGCTCGAGGAGAGTCATGCACGCATCGAAAAGTGCCTCTGGGCTCTGGAGCAGCTGTCGGACCGATCGCCGTCGGCGCACATGGCGCACGAGCAGCTTGAGAAGCTGACGAATGCCAGGAGACAGGGCAACCTCGCTTTCCCGCAGATTCCGATGGCCAGTCCGCCGCTGGCGCGGGACATGCGCCCAGTGTGGCCCACGGAAGGCCCAAGTCCGGGCAGCGATGCGGACAGCAACCGCGCATCGGGCTTCGGCGGCTCGGTCGAGGGGAGCGAAGTGTCGCCGATGGGGTTTGATGGCGTGCAGGCAGAAGGCAGCTCGCTCGAGTCGGCTCTGCACTCGTACTTTACGGCGAATCTCGGGCTAGCACACCAGCCATCGGCGTCGCAGCACTGTGTGGAGCAGCAAGGTGTCCCACTTGGCGTGGCGCCGTCCCAGACCGACTATCTGCAGCTGCTGCAGATGATCGGGCAGAACGGAGCGGCTAACGGACCAGCGGGCGTTGCTGCCGCGGACTCGCTTGTCGAATCGCTGACAACGTCGGCCGGAGGCGAATTATCCATCGATCCGCTGTCGATTCTCGAGACACTGGCGCAGTTGACCAACCAGCCTGTGCGCGACCTGCATCCTCTAGGTTCAGATGCTTCGTCTAGCTCGGTCGAAACCGTCTTCTCGCTCGACTCGACCGAGTGGGATCTCGGATTCGGTCCGGTTGCCTCGGCGGGATTGAGTGCAGGCGATGCATTCGTCAGGCCAGGCTTGCACACCGCTCCGTCTTATGCGACGCAGTCGACCAGCGTGACGAGCTGCAGCGATGGCGAGGAGGAGGAGAGCCTGTCCGGTCCGGCCCAGAAGAAGTGCAAGACGGCTACGCCTAGCCCGACCGCTTTACAAGCGCCGCATCCCACGCAGGGCGTGCAGGCAAGGCCGCCGATGGCCGCGAACCACTCACTCAGCCAGAAGTTCATGTCGATGCCACTGCAGGCGGCTGCGCCGCGCGAGCACGACGACCTGTACGGTGACGAAGACGACGACGAGCTGATCAGCTACAGGAACGGATTGAAGCGCAAACGCGAGCACGCCGAGGGCGATCGCACCAGCTCCGGGCAGGGCGAACGAAGAAATGAAGCAGCGACAGTCGCTGCCTCGTAGCCCATTGTTACGATCGCATGCCATGTAAACCTAGAAATCTGTACTGAGAAACGGGATTGATTGTCCATTGCTGTAGATGCAGTGTTGTGTGCGAGATCGCGAAAGATGCTAAAGAGTGTGGTGGAGGGACCGACGGCGTCGTGCCGGGTCCGCTGCCACGGCGGGGACGAATGGATGCGGGGAGGTCAGTTCTGGCCGACGGCGATCTGGCTCGACGGCACAGGGCTTGCATGTGGGTATGGTTGGACGGGCGAGCCGGGCTGGGTGCTGGTGGGTGCGGCGCATCCGTCCGGGTAGAGGCGGTTGCGCGGCCAGAGCGCGCCGTAGCCGCCCTCCTCGGCAGTACCGCCCCAGACGGTGTAGTTGGCATTGTAGTAGGCCGCCTTGTGGCGCTCAATGTAGTCGGCGGTGGGGAAGTCCTTGGGGTCGCACCCGACGTTTTCCGCCTCTGGATCCTGGTACACGCGCACCCAGTCCACCTGCATCACGGCGGGGAAGCGCAGCCGGCGCCAGTCGGGCGTGCCAAAGTTCTCGCTGATGCCGAGGTTGAAGATGATGTACATCGGCTCCTCGGGGATTGGTCGGTCGCTGATCTGCGACACCGGGTCCGCCTCGAGCGCCGCCGCATGCACCTTCCATGCCCGCTTGCTGTCCGAGATCCAGTCGATGTACCCAGTCGGTCCAGGCTCGTACTCGAAGCCATACGTCGAAAAGGTCTTGTCTCCACCGAGCTGCACTGCACGCTGCGACGCGAGCGAGATGCCACTAAGCGCCTGTTGGTCGTTCTGTCCATTGTACAGGTTGAGGTGCGATGTCGGCTGGAAGAACTCGTATGCCGGGCCTGTCGAGTTGGTCACGTTGTAAAACATATTGAAAGGGGCCGTCTGCATCGACTGGGAGACGGTGAGGCCGAGCGTTCCATCGACCTGGGCCTCGAAGACATCGATCTCGGGGGCACTGCGTCCGCGTAGGCTTCCGTCCTTGAGGATGGGACCGGGATGGTCCTCGCCGGCGCAGGTGCATGCCGAGAGTCGTTGGCCTGGGAGGAAGGAAAGCGCCTTGGACTCGGCTTTGCGATTCCACATGACGTCTCCACCGATGGCGGCGGCTGCGGGCTGGCCGTTGGCGTCGGTCTGGTTCATCAAGGTGCCGACGTCGCATGCGCTGTACGAATAGGGCCAGGTTCCGTCGGTGGTGGCACCGTATCCGGCGCGTCCGAGGTTGCCCATGGTCCAGAAGGCGGGCCAGAGACCTGGGACGTGGGGGGAGCCGGGCAGCTGGACGCTGGCGATGAGGTAGCCGCCGGTGAAGCAAAACTTGTTCCACGAGCTGAGGAATCCTCCGCGGAAGTTGAGATTGTTGGTCTCGACCTCGGCGAGCGTGATTTGCAGGGAGCCATTGGCTGTGGTGACAGCCTCGGGCGAATACCACTCGTAGTTGTTTGTTGCCCAGTAGTGCAGGTCGGAGGCCTCCCAAAACGGATCGTCGCCCGGATAGAAGGAGCGTCCGTCGGTGTTGAATTCGTCGGAAAAGACGAGCTTCATGTTCTTTGAGCCGTCGGGGCTGAGTGTGGTATAGGCGTCCTCGGGCGTGTCTGGGTCGATCAGGGAGGATCGCAGGCCGGGTATGCTGGCAATCTGGCCCGAGGCGTTGACTCCGCCGAGATTGAAGCCACCTTTTGTGCTCTCGTGATGCCGATTGAGGTAGGCGATGACGGGGTATCCGCCGAAGAGGGCGACGAGTGCGAGGGCGAGGACGACGAGCACGCCAACGTTGAGCAGGCCTCTGGTACCGAGTGCGCCTCCGAAGCAGCCGTCGGGAGTGTCGTGCGCGGAGCTTGGGTCATGCAAGGCATCGTCCGGCTCTTCCTTTCCATCCATGGTGTCCCATGAGTACGGATTGGTGAAGAAGTTGTTGGCCTCTGAAGTTGCTGTTGTGGAGCCGTTCATGCTGGTTGCCGAGCCGACTAGCGACGCGGGGATGCCAAAGATGTCGCGTATGCCACGTGGATTGACCTTTTGATCGTCAGGGATGTGAGAAAGTGGTCTCGTCATGCCCTGTAAGCAGCGAAGCGAGTCGAGAAGTCAGAGAATGCTACAAATTGATGGACATGTGCCTCAATGTTGTGAGAGAAGGATTGGCCGGTACCTACCAAGTTGACGTAGCGTGATGGTGCGGGGTGGTCTGGAGAGCTGGAGTCGACGGTGAAGGAGAGCGTACTGAGGTTGTATGTATCGATGCTGTTGTACCTGGCTGAGGAGTCCATGATTGGGTGTTTGTCGTCTGAACTAGCCTGGGTCAGATCGATCTCTTTGCCGTCGTCGCTGATTGAATGTGAGCTGGATGCCGGGGAGCGTGCCATGCTGCTGATGCGTGGCTTTATGGAAGGCGCAAGACTAGGTTGAGGCGCATTGTGCGAATCCGAGTGCGCGGATGTATCGAGGGAAGCTTGTTGCGAATGCGTGCGGGACAGCGGAAGGTCAACCGAGTTTGTCGGAGAGCGGTGCGACGCAGCCGCCGAGGCTTCTGGGGCTGAAGCGGAGGCGGAGGCGGAGGCATCGGAGGGCATGATGGCGATGTGCTTCTTACGGTTGAGCGGCTGCTGGCTAAGATCACAGTGCTTTTTCTGGAAGGCGGTCGTAGTGCAAGGCGCGCGCTGGGAGCTGCGATTGGGCTGTCTAGATGTCGAAGCTCAGCATCTGCAGAACGCGGTGATGCCGAGCTTGGCGTGTCGAGAAGGAGAGAACCAGCTTGGGCGTGTGAGCAGGTCGGAGAAGCCTTGGCTCGAGGAAATGAAACCAAGCGCAAAAGCAGCAAGGTTTGGGTTGCGGTGACCTCGAAAAGGTCGGAATAAGGTTTTGGGCAGTCAAGGATGATGAGCCTAAATGACTGCGCGAAGCAGGCCGACGGAAAAGCAAAGGAAGGATGGATGGATGTGTGATGCCAAGGAAGGGAAGCAGGACGAGGCAGGCGGGCGGCCAAGTCGGTTTGGCACATTCACGATCCTTCGATGCTCAAAGGTGCGCACTGGCTTCACACGGCGAGATCGTGCTTCGGGCGCTGTGCCGAAACGGAGGGTCCGATAGCAGCGTAGCGAGCATCGGCGTCAACCGAAGGCGGCCAGTGCAGATGCAACCCGACGAGTCGATCGCAGCGCAGCGCTTTCGGGGGTCCAGGCAACGCAGCGCAGGCCCTGCTCAGCAAAGCGGACAACGGCGGCGGCGGCAGCGGCAGCAGCAGACGTCAGAAGTGCATGCATGGCGAAGATGCGTGCAAGTGCAAGTTGCCGTGGTTGGCAGTGGTGCGTGGCCTCGTTTCGACCGCCGCTCCGCCGGTGCAGTGGTAGCGAGGCCGCCTTCTGACCGCGCAAACGGAAATGTTTCACTTGATTTGCACACTCGCGAGGCGCTGGCTGTCAGAAAGGAGAAGAAGAAAAAAGAGCTCGCGAGGTGGGAGTAGAGTTGCTCTGGTTTCTTGAACCTTGCATCCGCCAGATGAAGGCCAAGGAGAGTCGGTGAAAGGAGAGAGTGTTAGAACGAGCAGCTGGGGCGTTGCGCATCGCGATGACTTGCAGACGTTTGCATCTAGCATGGCGCATGAACATGCCCTCATAAACGGAACTCCTGCACAGCTGCCATGCACGCCCATAAGTTAGCGCTCAACTGAAAAATCGCCGGCTTGCACAGCTGCACGACATCCGCCGCCGGAGCCCCTCGCGAACTGATTCTTTTTTCGTCAGCCATCACGCCGTCGACTACGCCAAGCGCTTCGCTCGCCTTCCTACTTTACGCTCCAGGCATACGGGCCGTCCATTGAATCCACGACCTCATCTGTGCTGCTGATGGAATGCCGGCATGAATGTGTGGGCTTACAAGGACGAAAAAAGGATTTCATGCAGAACTGCCTCGGAGCGTTGCCACGACCTCGCCACCAGTCTGCAGCCGAAGTCGTCCCAAAAGTTCAAAAATTGGGGTCCAGCTCAAATTCGCTCGGCTCGCCCGTTGCGCCCTCGAGGAGGAGCTCGCAGACAGTCGACGAAGAGTGGACCAAACCCTACAACTACAGTAGCTCGGGCGCCTTGTCGCCGATGCCACAATGCACCTCGCGATCCTGGCTAGCCTGCGTCGCTCTTCCTCATCCCAAGCCGCCCCACTCCTCCATTGCCCGGGTCTGAGCTCATTTCGTGAAGCAGCAGGTGGGTGCGCTCAGAGCACGTGGCGAAGATTCAACGGTCCATACGCGTGGAAGGTCGCCACGCCTCTGTCACGGAGGAGGGATCGGCTGGGCATCTCGATTTGAAGCCCAGATCGGGAAAGGTCACGTGCATACCCTTGGGCTGGCTTTCGGCGGCCGTGGGAGGGTTCGCAACTTTTTTTTGAGAATTTTGGCGCGAGGTGAGGTACCTGGGCGAGTCGAGCTGCACAGCTGCAGCCTCTGGTGGAGCACAACTGCTGGAAACCAGTTGCTGCGGTTGCCTTGGAGCGTCGCGGTGATCATCCGCAGCAGCATATCCACCAATCCTCATCGACCCAGCACGCTCGCTCCACCGGTGCACAACACGAAGAAGAAGAAGAAGAAGACGAAGCGGCCCACAAGAGCGCTTGTCTCCGCACAAGGTAAGCTTCTCCACGCCGACCTGTCACAAGGTTGGCCCGGCCTGACCGCTCCCAGACCTCGTCCACCTCGACCCCGTGGCTGGCTCTGCCTTCGCCAGGAATGCCAAGACGATTTGAAGCATATCTTCTGACATGAATCTGAATCCTCCTCTTTGGCAGCCTCTTCATCAGCTTGGGCCGACGCGCACACCTGCACATCATTGCCCGGAAGCTGCATTCTGCGGGGCGTGGTCCCTCGGCCACGACCACGTCACCGTTCGCCGCATCTCCATCAGCTACAGCTCTTTCAACGCTGGATGCAACAGCGCTCCTGCAATCGGGCGACGTTCACGCCCCTCTGGTCTCGTCCGCAGCTCAGGATGGCGCTCTCGACACCGAGGCCGTCCCAGCCGTGAGGCCGCCATCGGTCTCCACGGATACGATCTCCAATGACCTGGCAGCCAGTCTCTCCGCCTTTGCCAACCCAGCGACTCCAATCGCCGCCGACGTCCTACTTCCATCAGCTCCACCTCAGAACCTCGATGCGACCACCGGCTCAATGCTCGATGCACAGGCCATCCAAGCCCAGGTTGAAGCCCTGATTCAGTCAACTTCGAGCGCGGTTGCCGACAAAGCTGTTGTAAGCCAGCCTCCTTCGATACCCTCTCTTCCTCCCGCATCACTCTTGCCAGCACCTCTGCCCCAGCCTCTGCCGGCTGTCCATGCCGTCCTGGAAGCTGCTCCGCAACCAGACACGCGTTCAAGCTTGCAGCAATCGACCACCGCCTCTGCCGCCGACACGCCCGACGCAGCCGCTCTCCGTGCAACCTCAGCCTCCCGTCCCAACATTGCATCAGGCGCTGGCTTCGAGAACACCTTCGCACAGTATCAGTTTCCGCAGAGCGCAGATCGAGCTCTCAACATGAGTGGGCGGAACGCTGAGGCGGAAGGCGCCCACTTGGACGGCACACAATCGCTTCCGACAGGTGCAAACAATGGCAAACAGAGGATGAATACGGCCATGTCCGAGCTGACGCGGGAGGAGGAGGAGAAGGCAGCCGACGCGCTGATCGCCGACATCGATACTCCCGCTGCTGCTGCCGGAACCTCGCAACGCGTCAAAGCAGAAGCATTCTCAGGAGCCGATCTAGCCGCTGCCGCCAAAGCTATAGGATTGGAAGCGGATGCAGATCTTCTCGGAGGCATGGACCAGGACCAGCGCGCCTTGGCTGCAGCCATCAGGCGTCTAGGTGACGAACACGGCGAGGCTGCACAGAAGGCGATACAGCAGGCCGCCGCTGCCGCCGCGGCTGCGGCAGCAGCTCGAGCCTCGCAAGAGCTAGCAAGAGCAGCTGCGAGAGAGCAACGCAGCGACGAAAAGATGCCGCATCGAGCTCCGGAACTTGCCAGATCGTCGACGCCAGCGTCAGCAGCCTCGTCATCATCGCGAGCACGTTCGGGCCCATCGAAGCGGTTCCCATGCCCGAAATGCGACAAGGCGTTTGCACGAGCCTACAACCTCAACACGCATCTTTCGACGCACGACCCGGACCCGAATCGGTCCAAGCCGTTCGCTTGCCCCTACCCGAGCTGCAAATCGGAAGGCGGGCGCTCCTTCAGTCGCAAACACGACCTTCAGCGTCATGTCGCCAGCATCCACGAGAACGAGGCGGAGCCAGGCATCCACGGCGATCCGGAGGAGGTGGTTGGCGGAGACACGGGCGGGCTGGTCTCGTTGGGTCTAGGAACGCCTGGTAAAAAGTTCCGCTGCAACAACTGCGGGCGCTCCTTTGTTCGCAGGGACGCGCGCAATCGCCACCAATGCGATGGGAGCGGCAGTCCCTCGGATCGCCTGTCCGAATCGCCATCCAGCTCCACGTATGCAACCTCGGCGTCGCCGCGGCCGAGCGCCTCGCAAAGCATGGTCGGTGGTAGCGCCGTCACGCTGCCACCGATTCGACCCATGGTCTCTGCCTTGCATGCGGCGGCGGCAGCCGGCACGCCTCTCGCGCGATTGAGCCCATCGTCCGCTGCTGGTCGACCCGCAAACAGCCTGTCCAAGGAGGTGCAGGCGGTCGCCAAACAGTTGCAGGCTCGAGTCGAGGCGCAGTCGCCCGGTCCCCAGGGCCATGCAAGCTCGCAACGAAACGCGCCGCCGTTGGCGTCGGGCGAGCGCCGCAACTTTCCGCTTTCGGCCATCTCTCTGTACGCATCGACGGGCACGCCGCACTCGAACTCCAGCTCCTCGAGCAGCAGCGGCAAAGTTCAGATCGCCAAGTGACTGCGCAGCCTCGTTTCGCCCTTGTCCCTCTCTCCCTCTACTGTATTTGTCGCACTTCATGTACTTTTATCCGCCGTCACCAGCTCACGCTTTCGGATTCCGCCGCAATACCTTCTGATCGCATGTGCACAACCAGAGAGAATGTGCGCAGACAAGGAGCAGTGAGTCGAATCAAAGCTTAGAAATTGGGCTCTGTTCCGGAAGGTGCGAGTGGCGTGACTGTGCAGTCGGTGGTGCCGAAATGCGGGAGCGGTTCAGGGTTGTGTGGGAGGCGCGTGTGCGAGATGCGTGTTGCAGTGGCCGAGCTGTGTGATTTGGTGGAAGGCTCGGGTGAAGGCCGCCAAAAGTCGTACGGTTCGCGCAGATCCTTCGGGAGCGCGTGTTCGGTGTGCCGTGCAGCGGATGAGAGTCGTGAGTGTTGGAAAATCGATACAGGGCAGCAGAGGAATCGATTCACGGAATTGATTGGACCTCTTCCCCACCTTTTGTCCACTCTGCACCCTCCTGCTTCGCCCACCCAGCCTTTCTTCTTTCTTCTCGACTCCCAATGCCAGCTTTCTACCAAACCGCCGTCGCTCGACTCTCCCAGACAGCTAGAATCATGGTAGGTGCAATTCGCCCCCCCCCCTCTCTGGTGCTCACCACCGGACCGCCCCTGTTGGCTGCAACCCGCTTCTAATCCGCTCCTGCTTCCCTTCTGCCCTGTGCGCGGCTACGACGACAATGACGACAGTCGCAGATCAACGACGTCTTCATCGTCTCCGCCGCCCGAACGCCCATCGGCTCGTTCAACGGCGTGCTCAAGAAGGCAACCGCGCCCGAGCTCGGCGTGGTGGCCGTCAAGGCTGCCATCGAGCGTGCCGGCCTCAAGCCCGAGCAGATCGAGGAGGTCTACATGGGCAACGTCCTCCAGGGCAACGTCGGCCAGGCTCCTGCTCGCCAAGTCGCTCTCAAGGCCGGATGCCCCGACTCCACCGAGGCCACCACCATCAACAAGGTGTGCGCCTCCGGCATGAAGGCCATCTCGCTCGCCGCCCAGAACATCGCCCTCGGCCAGCGCGGCGTCATGGTCGCCGGCGGCATGGAGTCCATGTCCAACGCCCCGTAAGTATTGCCATTCTCATTGTCGTCGACGTTACCACCACTCGCCACACGAAGCGTCATCCCATCGACAGTAGCGGCTACGGCCATGTCTGGCTCAGCTTTCGGGTCGGGCTTCGTGCGCAGCTGCCGGTCCGAGCCGATCCCTACAGGGCGGAGGTTGCTTCCCCTCCTCCTCCTCCTCCTCCTCCTC